ATATGTTATGAAAGCCCAGTCTGGGCTAAAAAATATTAAATATAATTCCTAGTCTACCCAATGTTTTATTTATTTTTAAAAATCCGGCCCTACCACCGGGCCAGTCTTTACAGGTCTCTAATATATAGGAATATATATATTTATTAAAAAAATTAATGTAATCATCATTATTTTATATTGGATAATTTGTTTTTAAATTTAATAAAATGGGGTGAAGCTGATTTACATTAAAAAATAGATAAATAATTTGTTAATAAATAAAAAGAGTGAGATTATGCAAAAGGAAAATTCAACAACGAATTTTCAACTTCTAATTAATGTTATTAAACGGCTCGATATAAGCCGATTTTTAAAAATGGCTATAATGCCAGAAAAATATTGTCTAAGCCTCGCGGTCGTTAATAGATGTTCAAAACTTTGTGCCACCTATGATCAAAATCTTACGGCTTGCGTATAATAAAATATTGAGTTAGCCATTTTTAAAAATCGGCTCAAAATGAGCCGTTTAACAAGATCTCTTCTAATTATATAAATTAACATTTTTATTTTAATCGTCAGACATTTGTCAGTTATTTATTTTTAAAAATTTATTACAATTAAGTGAAAAATCGCTAAAAATATGTTTGAAAAGTACTTTAATAAAAAATAGTGGATTTTATTTGCTGAATTTTTATTCCAAGGGACTTTTTTCTGGGATTAGGTGGGGAGGAGTTTTTCCGAAGTTTTGTTCTCCTCTTAAAATTTTTTTTTAAATATGAAGGGAAAATAAAATGTCTGATTTCACATATATATGATTAGCAGTATCATTGAAAACAAACTCGATTAAAATTGTCGGGTCAGCATATGTATTCTCTAGAGTTAGAATCCAAATATGCAATATTTTTGATAAAATACTTCACAATTTAATATTAGATGAACGTGGCCCCTCCCTTAAAAAACTTATAGATCAGCTTTGACTTGAGGTGCTTGCTCTGTCTAAATGGAATTAACAAAACAAAAATAATTCTGGCTTAATGAATGAGTTATCTAGAATTTATAAAGTATCTATTGTATGTTTGCAGATGCGAATACCTACCGAAAAGGGTTTATTCTGTTAGGGGCTTCTCTGTGATGATGTCTTGTCGAGCGATGCATGAATTACAAAGTTTAATTTTAAACTATACATATAAGCTATTATTTAATAATTTATTGCGCATTTCTTGAACAACCACCTTTGCTTTTACCACAAAAGAGGTTTTGCTTTCGGTTTCATGAGTATTTCTTCTCTGTTTTATTTATAATATAGTGTTGTAATTTTCGTCTTTGTTATAAATGAGATTTATATTATATATTATCAATGTTATAAATGTCATACATACAAATCAATATATATATATCAGTTGTAAATATCAGGTGATTTTTAGTTAATAAAGCCATCCATATTTGTGTATGCTTATTTAAGACTAATTAGTATATTGGCGACGTTGTCGATGATCTTATTATGAACAAAGAAGACAAAAATAAAGTAATTATGAATAAAGAAGAAAAAAATGATAACATTATGATCAAATTTGATAACTTTGACAAGCAAAACAATTTTTCTGATTACATTGAATATATTGATGATATGTTGGAGATAAGAGGTATATTAGTAAATAATGAAACCAAAAAAAAATATTATTTGCGTATATGGGTATTAGTAATTTATCAGAGATGAGGTCCTTTGTTTATCCAAAAATATTGAAAGATCTTAATTATGAAGAGATTATTGAAGTGGGTAAGAAAGTTTTTAAGCCTATTTCAACATTATTTAGCTCGAGAATTAAATTTATTCGGATGGAAAGAGGGGTTGGTGAATCAGTTGCGGAGTTTGCAGCTCGACTCAAAAATTGGCTCAAGAATGTAAATTTGAATCTGACCTAGATGGGAGATTGAGGGATCAGATGGTGGCTGGAATCAAAATGGGTGCATTGGAGAAAGATATTCGTACTAGATTTCCAGATGGAATAAATGACTTGGGAGAAAGGTGAGTTTTCAACAGGTTTTAAATATGGCTTTGGCAATGGAAAGGGCTGAGGATGAAGTGACAAATATGATGATAAAAAAAATCAATAAACCTAAGGAGCAGATAGAGAATAATCAAGAAAATTTTTCTAATCAAAAGTACTCATATAATAATAATAACAAAGAAAAAGGTAATTTTAGTTATTACAATAACAATAATAATAATTTTAAGTTTAGAGATAAGAATAAATTTAACAATAATGATATGTATAAGTTTAATAAATGCTCAAAATGTGGAAGAACTCATCCCCCTTTTCAATGTTTTGCATCAAGGGTGAAATGTTATAATTGCCAAAAGGTAGGGCATTATGCTAAATATTGTAAGGGACAGAAGTTACATGCTATGCATATAGATGACAATGATTCATCAGATTCAATTAATAATATTTCCCAAATTGGTAGAAATAGTGCAAAGATATTTGTTTGGATAAATGGAGTACCTATAGAATTTGACTATGATACGGGGGCACAGGTATCGGTAATTGGAAAACAATATTGGGATGAAATTGGCCGACCCAAACTTGGACCAACCAAACCTTTATCAGTATATGGTAACCAACCGCTAGATGTACTTGGTGAAACTATGGTGAGGGTTCGTCTTGAAAATATAAGCAGATCACTACCGATTGTGGTGACCCGTTCAAATGACATTCCATTATTTGGACTACCATGGATACTGGCATTTAATATGTTTATTCCACGACAAGTGATTATACGTAGTATCACAAATAAAGAGGTTATGGCAACCGATAAACAAATTGCTGGCATGACAACAGAATTTTTCAGTGTTTTTGATGACAGGCCTGGACGGGTGAATGATATAGAAGTTAGCATACATTTGAGTGAGGCAGCAAGTCCGAAATCATGGCCAGCTCGTAGAGTACCTTTTCCATTACGAAAACCAACTGAAATGGAACTCGATAGATTGGTTAAATCAGGAATATTGAAGGCGATTGATCCAACACAAAAACGGTTGACATGGGCCACTCCAAGGGTAAACGTAAGAAAAACAAATGGAGAAATCAGGATTTGTGCGGATTTTAAGGTGACATTAAACCCATATATTTTGTACGATTATCATATTATACCAACGGTGGATGATCTTTTAACCAAATTAAAAGATGTATTGAAATTTACGGTAATAGATTTGAAAGATGCATATTTACAATTACCAATAAAAGAAAGTTCAAAAGAATACAAAACCATATCGACCCACATTGGTTATTTCCAATATCAATGTATGCCGCCGACCATATTTTAAAGATATATGGATAATTTATTACAAGACTGCCAAATGACCGGAGTATATCTTGACGATATTATCATAACGGGGAAAAATGATGTAGAACATTTGAATAACGTAAAAAAAGTACTAATGAAACTAAAACAGGTGGGTATGAAGGCAAAATAGGCGAAAATACGTTTTTTAAATGAATCAGTTTCTTTTCTGGGTTTCGTAATAGACAAATATGGAATACATCCAGCGAAAGAAATAATAGATGCTATTCGAAGGATACCAACTCCTAATAATATACACCAATTACGATCTTTTTTAGGACTTGTGAATTATCACGAGAGATTTTTGCCACATCTACATGGAATTGCCGCTCCTCTGCATAAATTAACAAGCATTAAATCTTGCTGGGGTTGGTCGGACAAGGAACAAGAGGTATTTGATAAAATAAAACAGCTTTTGTCAACAAATAAAACGCTAATTCCATATTCGCCAAACTTGCCAATAATATTGGAATGTGACGCTTTCAACACTGGTTTTGGAGCTGTGTTATGTCATTTAATGAAAAAAGATATTAGCAGACCAATCGCATTTGCCTCGCGAACACTTCTAGAGTCAGAGAAAAATTATGCACCAATAGAAAAAGAGGCACGAGCACTTTTGTTTGGTATGGAAAAATTTCATACATTCATTTTTGGTCGAAAATTTTTATTACGAACAGATCACAAACCTTTGGAAAAATTATTTGGTGATAAACGGGAACTACCAAAAATATCCAATAGTCGATTAACGCGCTGGGCTTGGAAAATGTCCGCATATGATTTTGATATTGAATATGTTCCTGGAAAAGAAAATAAAGTAGCTGATACATTATCTAGACTGCCAATAGATGGCATAGAATCAAATAATGATCAGAGCTATAAATTTGCACGATATAAATATTAGTCAAGTTGAACTCCAAAAGGAAACAAGGAATGATAGCTTGTTTTAAAAAGTAGTTAAAAACATTGAGCATGGATGGGTGGATTTTGATGCGAAAAAAAATGCAGAGTTAGTTTGTTTTTATAATCGTAGAGAGGAATTGTCAGTAGATCATGATGTTATTGAATGGAATGGGAAGTTGGTAATTCCAACCATTTTGAGGAAACAATATTAACGATTATACAGAGGGCATCCAGGAATAAATGCTATGAAATCAATTGTTAGAATGTATTGCTGGTGGCCGAATCGCGATAAAGATATTGAACAATATGTTCATCAATGTATGCCTTGTCAAAGTAATCGGTGGAATATTATGGAGGTTCCTTTATATTCGTGGAACATATCTAATATACCATGGGAACGAATTCATTTGGATTTCGCGGGGCCTATTGATTCGTATTCATGGTTAGTTGGAGTTGATGCACATACTAAATGGGTTGAGGTTGAGTTAATGAGAGAGACCACGTCTACGACAATGATCAGGGTTTTAAGGAAATGGTTTGCACAGGTTTGGAACACCTAGACAAATCGTATCAGAAAATGGACCTCAATTTATTTCTGGAGATTTTCGAAAATTTTGTTTCGAGAAAAATATTAAATTGATACATACAACACCGTACCATCCAAAAACGAACGGTTTAGCGGAAAGAACGATATGAACCCTTAAGAATCGATATTTTGCAACTAGGAAAGACATCAAGGAGCCTGAGGAAGCCATGGGAGAAGTTTTGCTAGCAATAGAATGGGTGAGCATCAATCAACTGGACGTTCACCGGCTAAGTTATTATTGGGGCGAAATTTAAAAACGGGATTATATTGGTTACGTCCTAATGTTAGTTATGAAATGGAACGATTGAACATACGTCAAAAAGTAGCGCATGATGAACATAGTCATATGAGAGAATTTGAGATTGCACAACCGGTATGGGTGCATAATGAAATAAATTCAGGTTGGAGAGAAGGAGTTATAAAATCCAGAACTGGTAGATATTCTTATTTGGTAAAAAGCAAGGATAGAATGGTACGAAAGCATGCGGATCAACTTCGAAAAAAGGAGGTAGCTAAAAGAAATGGAGAAGTCTGGGCCAGGGAAAGAAAATGGAGAAAACATGGAGTCAGAGAGAGAAGAGGAAAATATAAAAAATAAAGAGTTGGATATAGTTGAGATTTTAGAAAATGTGGAAGATAACGGAAAACTAGAAACGCGGAAATCACAAAGAGCCAGGAAACCTACAAATCGTCTGATTGAGGAATTGTAAGATCATATGTGTGGGGATATGTTATAAATGAGATTTATATTATATATTATCAATGTTATAAATGTCATACATACTAATCAATATATACATATATATCAGTTGCAAATATCAGGTGATTTTTAGTTAATAAAGCCATCCATATTTGTGTATGCTTATTTAAGACTAATTAGTATAGTCTTATGTATAATAAAATTGTTTACAACTAACATATGGGGCCTATTCGCTGAATACATATTATCTGTCTATATCAACCTAAAATCAGGTTTTATCGACTCCGACTAGATGATTCTTGACTGGATTATTAAAATCTTCTCACCCAATATTTAGCCAATAAATATTCAAACCTCAAGATTTTATTAATAAATGTCCAAACTTCCCTCCTTCTATGAGCAAAGTCTTGAGGCGTAATATTATTTGGTTAAAATATCTGGTTAGCTCTTTTTAAAAATTAAGCCATTTAACATCACTAATACGGGGTATGATATATAGAATAACGGAAACGCCCGTGATTTAGTTTGTTTTATAATAAAACAAATGTGGGTCTTACTATTTAATAAAAATTTGCCTTTATTTAGAAAATAGCAATATAACGAGAACGACCCACGCTATATACCATTACCCCGGGTTTACCATATGCACAACTATTTTGTGTTAGGTCAATGTGATCTCAATAATTTCATATGACAAACTGTAATGTTATGAAATTATTATTTCTTATATATTTAATTCATTAGATTTACAAAAAGCTAAAATCTTCAAAATATCTGACATTAACACACATATTACCTGCTCTTTGTGTAAAGGTTATTTAATTGATGCCACAACAATAATTGAGTGTTTACATTCATGTATATTTTTTTTTATATAAAAATATTATTTAAATTATATATAGTTTGCAGGAGTTGCTTACTTCTGTACTTAAATTCTCATAGAACTTGTCCTATATGTGATTGTTTAATACATAAAACAAAACCAATATTAAATATAAGGTTATTTATATACTTTAAATTTTAATTATAAAAAATACATAGAAGTGATTCATCATTGCAGGATTTAGTATTTAAACTTATACCAGGTTTATATCAAGGTAAGCATAAAGTTATATATTCCTTAACTATTTTAAAATATAGATGAAGTTCATAAGAGGAAAGAGTTTTTCTTAAAAAATAAGAAAAAGATCAAAAGTAAATTTTAGTCAAAATTAATTTGACATATTTTTATAGATAAAAATTCCTTATTTAATAAATTGTTCATTAACAATGGTACAGAGGATTATTATAATATTGACATGTATGCAGCTGAAGATAACATTAATATTGCTTTGAAATATTACATAAAGTATAATAATTATTTTAAAAAAAAGGAATATAATATATTTTTCTTAGAAATCCTGAAGATCCAGAAGATTTCAACTCAATTGAAAAAGCTTTGGTAAGATTTTTAAGTAGTTATCAAACTTAACTAATTATTTAAGTGTAATTACAAGAGATTTTTGCAATGTCCAGTTAAAATGACAATATTAACCCTCAAAATGTTTATTCAAAAGAAGTTTTTTATACCTTGTATACAACAAGTTAACAAAATATTTATTTTTTTAATAATAATTTTGATATATTAAAAGATATAATCTAAAGGAGCCTAACTTTTATATTATGTATATTACAATATTAGACTTGATATCAAAATAATATAAATTATATAAATAGAAATGTTATATGTATGCAAACAATTGATTTCTAATTATTTTAATGGATTACATATTATAAAATGTTCAAATTAAGTTCATTATTTAAAATAGAGATACATCAACACTAACAAAAGATTTACTCTTAAAAGATATCAAATTTGTATAAAATTTTATCAAAAGAATTGTTTGAGCATTTTCAAAAAATTTTCTCTAAAAAAATCTCCAGAGATCACATTCTAAGAAGATTTTTTATTTTGAAGAGCCTTTCAAACTCTGCTCTAGTAGCCATATTAATTAAAATTGAAAGTATTGGCTGATCTGATATTAATATTGACCAATACTGCAAGTTCCTTATTGGTAATCTCTGTATTTAAATATAAATTACTTCCTATTTTTAACTAAAAAAACGACTTCTTAAATTATGAGTGTAAAATATTTAGAACTTAGAAAACTAACTCAAATTTAAAATATTTTATCTATATTAAAAGAAGCTAGGACCACACTCATCCCACTATACTTTTCTTCTCACAGATCCACATTTTTCTCCAATATTGGCTCAAATATCTAATATTTATATTGATTTTTTTAAAAGGATTGATATTGATCCCAATCTAATATATAATATTGTTTGGTGTAGTTCAAATAGTGAAATTATTTTTTTAGACAAATGTAAATTATATTACTTATTGAAAATTTAAGGTTGAAATATATCTCATAAATCAATATCTGAGTGATAGTTTATCCTTATTGGACATTTTATGCTTACATTCACTCAAAAGGGTATGTTATTATATTTTATTTTAAAAAATTGAAATCTACATTATAGGATTTAGAGATTTAGTTTGTTAAAATGTTTATTTTTTAAAAAAAAAAAATAGAAGACAAGATAAAAATATATCAATCTAGATAAATGGAAGTAAGAAAAATAAGGCAAATTAAAAAATAAAATAAATAATCTGAATATTTAAAAAGAGAATCATAATTAGGGAGAAAATTATTTTTTAAAAAATGTTATATATATATTGAATAATTAATATATTTTTATTATTATTAAAGACTGACCCATTGGAAGTGTGCTTTTACATTCACGACATATATATTGAACCAAAAGAAATGGATGAAACTAGTATGATACATTTTATTTATAAAGTATCTTATTATAGCATGTTTTTTTATCTTTCATTTTTGCAGATGATAAAGAGAAAAGTGAAGAACTTACAAAGAAAGATGATAGTAATAAAGATTTAAATCCAAATTTATCTAAACTCGATGTGAAAGATAATGATGGATCAAATTCACAGAAAGATGGACTATCACAACCTAATCAAAGCAAGAATAGAAGAGGCAGAAGGCCTAACAAAAATAATGATAAAATTGGGGAATCAAACAAACTTAAGCGCCATAAACACCACCCTAGTGTTAAAAAAATTAAAGACAGGTATTATAAATAAATATAAAATTTTCATTTATATCATGTTAACTTAATATAATATCTAATAGCTTTTAAAATTCCTAAGGTTAATAATATATTTTAAATTTTATCACTTACCTATATAATGACATATATGTTAACAATCTTCGAAGTTATCTTCAACAGCCAGTGAAAAAATCTCGAGAACTCACGAATTTAGAAATTACCAATGGAGGACGAAAATCAAATAAATTATCTTTTAGAAGGTTACCAAAATCAAAAGATTCGGATACGTCTGAAAATAATTCCTTAGTCTCAACTTCTAACAAAGGAAACTCAAACAACAAAAAGGGGAAATACAAATATAAAAATAAAAAAATATCCGGTACAAAAGTGATCACGTGCATTAGCAGCGAAGATGATGAAAGCGAAAATAAAAATCTCGAAAGTTTTATAAAAGAAAAAATGAATGACGATGGCAAAAAAAGCGATAATATGGGTCAGAGTGATATTGCGTTAATCGAAAATAATATTAATGGAGTTGATAGTCCTAAAATGGCCATGGAACGTAGAATCTCTAGAATGGACAAAGTATCTCGAAATCTTAAAAAAGATTTTGATTGTCAAGTGGAAGAAGACGAGGCGGAAGAAGAGGAATGGAGAAAAGATTTGATGGAGAAAGTTGACGAGGCTTGCACCAAAGTGATCAACTCTCAAAACAGCATCATTAGCAATGATTTTAAAAAAAGCGCCATTAATAATGGGGATTTAAACATAGACAGGGGACACGATCACAATAATAGCCGACCATTATTAATCGATAAACAAAAGACGATTCACAATGGCGGCGACTATCATATTGGAGGGCCTTGCGAAAATGGTTTGCATTCGAAAAATAATAACGAAGAATTGCTCACTCCACCATGTCAAAATAATGGATTTTTGGATCTTATCAATCATAATAATAGCAATGGGGACCTAAAAAGTGATAATTTAAGAAAATTGAAAAAAAACTTTTCCCCAAATGGTTCTAACGAAGATAACAGTAAATTTCGAGAAATGGCAGAGACCTTATTAAAATTAAGTGTGACACGTGATAAAACCAATGTGAACCCATCTTGATAAAATATCGTTTTACAAATTTATATGATCTTATTTTTTTTAAACATATTTATATAAAATTATTTATAAATAATCATTTAGAGAAAATTAATTAATATATTATTTATAAAATATATATATTTTTTTTATCATCCCCTTTTTTTGCTCAAATTTAAGCCATATTTTTATATAGAACACGAATAAAATTTTTCCCCTTCTAATGTGCATATATTTTTTTTACAGACATATTTTATTACACCCCATGAAGAATTAAAATTTTAGATTATTATTTGTTATATTATTATTATGCAGAGCTTTAGAATAAGAATTAACCAGTTACATGATAATAATACCTAGATTGGCTATTCATTCATTTAAATGTCTATAAATATAATCAGCTGGTTGCACCCCATTTTGTCTTCCCGTACTGTTCCGCAAATTTGTATTTAACGATTATTTAAAATGCATTTTAATGAATGAATCACTAGTCTAGATAAGTATTATATGTCATTGGAACTAGCATAGATTTACAGAAGACTTATCTTTGAAATTTTTTTATTTTTCAATCTATTTAATCTGTAAATAACAACACGTGTTCAGGATCAAAAATAATTGTTTAATATTTTTTTTAACGATCATAATTTATTTTGTTATTTTTCGTCACTACTAGTTTTTTTTTGTTGAATATCAAAGCAGATTGATCCTATTATCGAAATGTTCCATCTCGTGCATCGTCTGATTTAGGTATTTTAACTGTTTATTATAAAGATTAATATAGGGTGGTAAAATATAATTATAATATTAAATTATTAAAATTCTCATGAATATTAAAAGGTTCTAACTCCATTCTTAATCTAAATTGTTTTAGTCATTAGCAATAGTTGAAATATATATAATTATAATAATTTAACTCATATTGCTGATTAAGATTATGATCCTCGTGAACATTACAACCAAGGTTCTAACACCATTTTTCATCTAAATTGTGTTAGGCTTAGGGGGTTATATTCACGTAGAAAAAACCCGAATTGATCATTAGATAGATAGTTGAAAGATATACCCCATAATAATTTAACTTTTGTTGCTTATTAAATTATTCGAACATTATAAGGTTTTAACTCCATTCTTAATTTAAATTGAGTTAGGGTTAGGGCTTTATATTTACTTATGAAAAACCCAGATCGTTAGATAGAGTTAAGATATATATACACTTTTAAAAATTAAACTCTTGTAGCTTATTAAATTATTATGATTCTCGTGAACATTATAAGGTTTTAACTCCATTCTTAATCTAAATCAAGGTTTGAAAAAATTTCCTCGCCCAAAATTTTGAGCACAAAATCTTTGAAGATCAAAATTTTAAGATTTTATTATATTAAAAACATGGGATTAAATCTTTTGGGATTGCTAAAAAAACTTTTGGGATTAAATCTCTTAAGATTTATTATTGTATTACATGTTTATTATTTATTTTTCGATAAAATAATTAGATGTAAATATTTGTTCTAATATTGAATATTTTTTGTGAATTTTTATTTAGTTTGTTAATTGTTTCTTTAAGATTTTTTAAAGGTATATTCTATATATATTTTATTTTTTGAGGTATTTTTTAAAGGTGATTTTTTCTAAATAATTATTTTTTAATTAAAATTTTTTTTATATAATATTTTAATGGTGATTTTTTCTAATGTATATTTTTTTATTAGCCCGTAAATTATCAAGGTACCAAAGATATAAAAATTTTATTTAAAAAATTTTATTTTCTTTTATTAATACATTATTAGTATATAAACATTTTTTCAAAATTTCAAAAAAAAAATTCATTATATGATTTTTTGAATGTTCCATAAATCAAACATTGGGAAACTAGTTCTTTTTTGGTGAAATAATTTTGAGCATTTTATATGAATCAGTACGACACATTTATCACACTTATATGTCATATTTATTTTGCACCATTTGCAACCACCTTGACGATCGGCTTTAATTGGCATATGACTTATCTTTACCTCTCAGATTGAATCAATTGGGCATCTTGATGGGCCAGGACGATATCGTTTTTTAGGTGCATTTCCAATCAAAGATCACACAATAAATCTTCTGAATAGAAGGTGAGACATATTCCCACCAGAAGTAATATTTCTCCAAGTGGCTACAGCACATAAACTAAGAAAGTTAGAGAATAAACACCACCACCATGGGCGATAATCTTTCAAAAATCTATCCAATAAATCAACACCTCCCATATATTGATTATATGAGGTAGATTGATGAATATTAATATATATTACATCGCTTGACTTTATTTAGAAGATATATTCCTTGATAATTGCTCACAACTGCTACAGGATGATTATCATTCCAAATATACAGAACAATCTTTTCATCACTAAATGCTTCATAAAATCCCGGAACTTTTTTTTCATTGGTTTTTGATCTAATGGACATTGCGGTTTGATTTATGCGATTGTTCCTGTACAACGCGAAACTTTTTCTCTTAGCATTTTTTATAAATTTGTGGAAGTATATCAAAGAATAGTACATGTTCTTGAACTTTAGAAATAATAGCTGAATTTAGTCACCACTCTTTCACCAAGAGGACTACTTTCATTGGCATCCTTCCCAGTATAAATATCAAAAGCAAGAGGATATCAACAAGATGAAGATAAAGCCCAAACTTTTGCGCCAAATTTTACTAGCTTTCCTCACATACATCTTTATAGTTTGGTTTCCATAATAGGGGATCATTTGTTCATCCAAATAAATTTTCTTTGAACATCCCAAATTGTTGTAAATTTCAGACAATAATATTTAAAAATAGTTTAACCTTCCCTAAAAATATCTTTTTATTTCTTGGAAACGATTTCTAGACATCTTTTTGGAAATAAAATGTGAACATACATCTTCATCTTGAGACCAATATAAATTTTCTTGGAGAAGACTATGATATCCACTCAGGCGCATACGCAGGAATTTGGTCTGGGGGGGGGATAATAAAATTTTTTAAGAAATATTATTCTTATTTAAAAATATTAAACATAAATTTATTAGGACTAATAACTTTTCTAATACACATTTTTAAATAAATGTGAATTACAAAAAAAATTATATATAAAAACCGGCATTGAAAAACTATAAAATAAATGTGAATGAATTATAAAATATAAAATGAATATAACCACAATAGGAATCACTTAAATGACCCAAAATTGAAATTTGAATTTTTTGAGCCTTTAAAATTTATATATAAAGTATAAAAAATTTAAATGTTGGAAATATAAATAAATACACAAAAAATTTTTTAGGAATAATTGTATTTTGTATGTTTTGAGCTAATTTTTCAATTATCTATCCTTGCTTGGCTTTAAATGTCTATGAATATTTAAAAGATCAAATCATTCAATCTACTTTCAGAAGTTGTATTTCATAGGTATGTTTTTCAGAGACTTGCAGGCCCGGTCCCCGGGCCAAACCGTATTATAATTTTTTAAACATACCTGGGGCCCGATATTTTTTTTAAAAAACACACGAGCTGGGCTTAAATTTTTTTTAAAATAAATATCCGGGCCGAGCTGTATATTTTAAAACTAAATATTTGAAATCGCCATTATTAGCTATAAAAATCAATAAATATAATTTATTTTAAAAGAATTTGGGCCGGGCCTGAAAATTTTATTTTCAAAAAAACCGGGCCGGGCCTGAAAATTTTTTTAAAAACAACCCGGGTCGAAAAAAATTTTAAAAAAAAATCCGGGTCGTGCTCTGAAAATGCTGTTATTCTTTTTAAAAAAGAGAGTGTTTATGGGAAGAGTTATTAATATACATAACCATTTTAATACATTGGGAATATAATCTAAAATGTGTTTGAAATAATGCAAAGCATCCATAGCATTTTTGGGACTGTATCAACCATAGTTAATCTTTTAATCATAGTTATTCAGCTAATAAGGCATCATGAGATACTTTAACATCTTCATGATAAAAATCTAACAAATATATTTTTTTTTCTATCACCATCTGAAAAAGGTTGGAAAGGCTTTTGTGGAAGTAACATCTGCGGATTTGTAAGTGCTGCTTGATGAATTAAAAATCATTCATTTATTTGGGTTATAAATGTATCTAAGAGAGGGGACATTTGTATCTTCTACTGATCCTATGTTAATGTTTTTACGATGAGTTTGCTTGTTGCAAGTCGAGGGGGACAAATTTTAAACACGTATAGCTCTTATGTTCTTCATCAACATTAACTTGCTCTCCGCTATTCATATCTTCTTAATCAAGTCAATGTCATGTTTTTGAAAAATAGTTGTATAATTAAATAATACATTCTAACGAGAAAAAAAATTTGAAATAAATATTGAACCCAATAATTTTCTTAGCCGTTATGCTTGATGGCGGAGACTCGATCTCGTTGGAGAAGCTTGCAATTTCTTTCTTCCTGTTGGACAAAGAGTTTCAGAGATAATTATTATTTGACTAGAAATTTAGATAAATAATACGCCACTAAAATTTGAAAATAGTAGGTACATTACGCCAAGGAAAACTTAAAATCGAAATTAATTGATAAAATAACTTATTAGATGAATGTGATAAATTAAATATATATATATATATGAGATAGGAATAAATATTAACAAATATAATTTAATATTAACAATAATATTTTTGAAAAATATAATCCGGCATCTCCATTTTTTGGTTGGGGGAGGGGGATTTGCCCCCCCCCCCATTCCCCGCTGCATACGCGCCTGTATCTACTATATTATATAAAAAAAATTAATAAAATAATATATATTAGAAAAAAATTATATAAAAAAAGTCATAAAAAAAATTATGTAGAAAAAATTACCATTAAAAAAACGCATAAAAAATTTTAATAGGAAAATATACGTTAAAAAAAATTATATAAAAAAAATCACCATTAAAATAACCCATTAAAATATTATATAAAAAAAAATGAAAAATAATTATATAGAAAATCACCTTTATAAATACATCAAAAAATTTATATATAATACAACTTAAAAAAAAATTATATAAAAAAAATTAACATTAAAAATAATATAAAAAATTCAAAAAAATATTTAATATTAAAACAAATATTTAAATCAAATTATTTTATCGAAAAATAAATAAAAGAAAAAATAATAAATCTAAAAAAAAATCCTTGAGCGATCTTCCCTAAAAAAATGATCAAAAAATCATAAGTGATTTAATCCCAAAAGTTTTTTTTAGCAAAATATCCCAAAAGATTTAATTCCACGAGATTTTTTTACAAAAAAAATTATGAAGATTTAAAAAAATTTTGAGCAGAAATCTGTGAACATTTTTTTTGAGGAGCATTTCAAGCTCTTTATCTAAATTGTATTAAGGTTAGGGTTTTGTATTTACGTTTAGAAAAAATCCTAATTGATTGTTGAATTAAAATATATACCTTTATAATAATTTAACTCATGTTGTGATTAAATTATTAAGATCCTAACATTATGAGGTTCTAACTCCATTCTTAATCTAAATTGTGTTAGGCTTGGGGCTTCACTACGTTTAGAAAAAACTCAAATTGATCGTTGAGTTAAAATATATACCCTTATGATTATTTAAATTATGTTTACTGATTAAATTACCTTGATAAGTTCTTAATTTTTTTAACCATAGTCTGGATAATTTTTATTACATTTTAATTACAGATGTACCGAATCCAATTTTTTTCAGTGGGAGCAGATCTCTTATTTTTAATTTACTCAAGCCGAGTATGGCATCGATCTTATATATAATTGAAATGTAAATTAAATTCAATAAAAATATTTTAAAATTATATTTTCAACAATATATCAAATATAATTAATTGACAGTTATTTAATATTTTATTCTTATAGAGCTTTTTTTTTTACATATCGTGTCAATTCAGCCAAACTTTATTGCGAAACACTTTTTCGCAATTATTTTATTACCGCGAATGTCGTTTACGCACAGGAATTTTAGAGTGAATATAATATCGCGAACCCAATTTCGCAAAAACTTATACAAAGAAGACAATATCGAGAATTTATTTCAGCAAATACATTATATCGGCACTTTTATCGCGTAACTTTTTCGCGGAATAATGAGTATATTGCAAATGCATTTAAATAGTAAATACCATATTCAATAATAATTTACCCCCATCATTTCGAAAATCATAAACGCAAAATATTTTACGGTTATTTTGCTTATTGAGCAATTGTATAAGTGAGAGATAGTTTGAAATGCCACTTTTTCTGATGTTATGAAAAAATAATTTGCCAATTTCTTCCTGGCCTCTCTCACTCATGAGGGCACATTTTGAGTCCAATTTTTAATCCCGATAAATTTAAATTTATCCCCACTTCCACTTTCCATAAAAATTTAAAAATGCGCTTTACGCAATTAAAAGTAAATGTTTTGTAACATATGTTACTTAAATGAGTCATTCTAAATTTACATGACGATAAATAATATGCGGAATATATCTTATCATATTCGAAAATTAATAAGATAAACGACTCGTATTGTTCATTCGTATTAAATTGAGACCTCAAGGATTTTATTTCAGGGAGGAGGTAAAAAATGAATAGGGCCGGACCGAAAAGCTCTATAGAAAATGTTCACGGCCGGTTCAAATCGTGCCGCGCTGACTTCTAACTTATACGTTTATGTAATAATGAGAATTAATTTTTTTAAAAACCCGTTAAAAAATCGTCTATTTTGTTAGAACTGTCCGGATTTAGATTCGATACATCTTTAATTATAATATTTTTTTATAAAAGGCTCACTTCACTAAACAAGGCACTCATTTCTTTATGCATATGGAACATTTCTAATTTAAGTTTGTCCATTCTCTCGTGAATACCTTTCATTGACTGGCTATTATTTTTGTTTTTAAATGTTTCTAGATTTACGACTATATTTTTGAAATTTTGTTCATTATCATTGACGGATGGTGAAACATTTCGTTGGCTATTATAGGTTGAGGAGGCATACATAGATAACATATTATTTTGATCGGCCATTATATCCTAATACAAAGATATTTTTTTTGTTTATAAGTTGATAATAAATATATGAGAGTTGTTAAAGAGCGGCTACATATTTTTAAAAAGGGCCTAATTCTGCATTCACAGTTAGCACAAATTCTCAGCGAAGTATGCTTTTGTATATTTTATATACTTCGTCGAGAATTGGCGCTAACTGTGAATTCTGGGTAAAAGTCGCTATAAAAATCGGGGGCGGGAACAAACTCATTTTTGGGATGGATTAGGAGCGCGCTGCTCCTCCACTCCTTTAATTTTATTTCATAATGTGTTTAGAAAATAATCTTAATATTTTAAATGATTTTGTTGAATGAATACAATAAAATTAATATTTATTTGTTTAAATCTATGAAACTATATATATTAAAATGTTGAGCCGAGTTATTTATATTTTATTCTTTTTTTTTTCCAAATCATAAAACATGGGAGACGATAGAGTGTTGTTATCAGATGTAGAAGTATAAAAGTTTCATCCTACAGCAAACATTCTCTTAAAAAAGATTCTTGATGAAAAAATTCTTGGTAACAGCTTATTTGATCGAATCGAAATTATTGCTACGAAAGTCTGCAGTCTTAGCATTAAAACGTGTTGAAAGTGCAAACTTTTAGTCTTGGCCAAGATTATAATCAATATAGACAAACCTGTCTAATTTGAGCTCTTGATAATTTGGGAAAATTCTTAATTTGACCATATTGCATGCTAAACAGGTTTTAGGAGCGAGGTTTAGTTCTTTATCAGATTCAAATTAAGAAAAATTTTCTACTATTAACTCAAATGGCAGGAGCGGGAGTTAGCTCCTTTTAAAGAGACTTAACAGCTCTCAAATATTTACTTTGTTCTTTACATCAAAAAACTATGATTATGTAAAAGGGACGAAAAAACGAATAGATTTAACAGATAGTGTAGATAAATTTTATTTTTTTTGTATTATCAAAGATATTTACTAACCTGTACCATGTTTTCATCGATTCCCGTGTTATTTAAAATAGGGCAAAATATGCTCTCCTCATTGGACACATCACTATATAACAAATTTTTATCATAAATGGTATTTCTACTAAGACATTCTTTCCAGGGATTGAGTTTAACTTCCGTAATATTTTGGCACGAAATATATTCCTTCTCATTATTTACAATCGTAAAAGCATCGATTTGAATTCTAGCGATATCGTCACCTCCACGGCATAAAACGTTTGATAGAGTGGTCTTTTCTATTTGGGAAAGTTGAGAAGGCGTGAATACCCAAGGGTTTTGGTACCAAAATCTGATTAAAGGATTTTTGAAATTTAAAAAAAATGTCTCAAAACAATTTTTATATAATTATATTATAAGTTGTATTATTTAATTATTTTTTTAATTGGCCTTGGGACTATTGTTTAATTAAATCATTAAAATTTTTTAAAAATAAAACCCTCAGAAGCTGGTTAAATTCAGAACCAGCGCCTTACCCTCTTATATCATTTTAAATTTTCCAATAATCCGGTTTTAATAAAGGAATATATATGTCCTGCAATGTGTTTTTAATGTATTGATTTTTCAAATTTAAATCATTTTCTTAAGCGTGTTTTTTCTAAATTTAAAAATCTGATTTTACCTGAAATGTATTCCGTCATGTTTGGAATACCTAGCCTATGAATTTAAGACATTTGCTATGAGCTTTTGAACTTAGTATAATTTATATTAGTTTTTTTCCATGGATTTTTTATATAATTTATAAATGACTCAAAGCTTAACAGCAAATAAGAACCGAAAGCAGAACTCACTTTTCAAAATTTTAGGAATCAGAAGTACTTTTTAAAAAATAAATCCCAAAGCCGAATCCTTTTTAGCCAAGATTCTAAAATTCTGAAACAAATATACCTATCTCCAATCATTAGTCTTTTGAACTGTTCGGCTAATAAACAAGTAAACGTTGGCCCTAATATTCCTCCCTCGTCATCATCGCCAATAGGATTCTCTAAAATTCCACCTAACCAAATGTCTATGTCATAAGGCGAAAAATATAAATCCGATAATTTTGATACGATATCGCTTTTATCTTTATAAACGTTTTTATACATGCCACTTATATTGTCATTATGATTTTTCAGGGTTTTTGTTTTGTCATTATTGTGCTCTTCGAGATCATGGTAACTGTCAGACAAATATTTTTCGAATATTCTAGACCTTCCTTCTCTGATTATGCTTGAATTTGTGTTTCCTTGGTGAAGTTCTACGATTTGATACATTAAATAAATGAAAATAAAGAATGAACTAAGTCATAAAGAATAACTGATTTAGTTATAAAAAATTAACCTAAAAGTTCTTTTAATATTTGATTTTGAATTCCATGAGTTAATCGATCCTTGTGATTAACTAAATCTAAATAAAATACAAAATAATATTGTTTTATATACAATAAAACCTCAAAAAAAATATTTAATTCCACAAATCTTTTATCCTTTGTCGAAGGGCTCAACAATAAATTAATTGACGATATACCTAAGCTATCATGACAATTCTTTTTCACCCACCGTAATACTTTTTGATTATTTAAAAAATTGTTGCCTTAATTTAATATTAATATTGATAATTTAAATCGGGGCCTTAATAGCACTTCTATTACAGATATAAAAAATATATTACCACTTCCAGCTGATTTCTCTACACTTGTCTCTCCAGGACATGTAAGATGGCAGGGCGTGATCTCTCCCTCTTTGTAAATTTATGGCAATGAGGTCAAAGGCTGGAGTATGATGAGTTTCGAATAATTTTTCAGTTAACTCTGTAGTAATAAGCTTGCGAGAGTCTATGGCCTTGCCAGGGGATGCGAACAAACCTCTCAATAGAGGATCGATTCCCCCACCTTCATTTTAAAGAAAAAATTTTTTATAGATAAAGTTAAAGGGAAGGGAAGGGAGGGAGAAGAATTGTTTATTACTTTGAAAATTTTCCATGAATTTAATTTACTTTTCGTAAGCAATAATGCATTTCATTTTCCTTTCACTGCCCAACAAAAAACTTAAATCAGTTAGATGATGCGCCTTAATACATTGCAGCTTACGAGTTTATCAGATCTGGAGGAAGTAATAAAAAAAAACCCCATATTTTATATAAGCATGTAAATTAAATTGAATATGGCATAATAATAATCAATTGATAGTAGGAAACAATAAATACAAGAAAGAATTCATAATAAAATGAAGAAATGACCTATCTACTAAATACAATTCCTATGATGTGCAGTACATGATAATTCAAAATTTAGAATAGTTTTTTATTATTTTCCAAAAAGTTGGTTAACGAAAATGATCATCACAAATATTTTGGAATAACTTGTAAAAAAATGAAATATAATTTGTTGCTAAAACGTAACTAATTAAGGAACGGGCAATATAATGTATTTTAATCAAAAGTATTTCGTTATAGCTCTAAAATTTTCAAAAAAGTGATAAAGTTACTTTGTTAAGTTTCATTTAAAATTTCAAAAATAGATGCGATCTAAGTTACTTACAAAATTTCTACCCTGTTTATTTATCTAAATTTTATTACCAAACTATATACTTAATATTTTTATATATTATTAAATACAGATGATTTAGTTATGAAATAAAACACAAAAACATAATAAAAAACAGGTGGACTAACTTGTAAAAATATTTTCGTTGAAAGTGCTAAATATGCAATCCTAGTATTTATATTATCAAATTAAAGTAATAAGTGTTAAAAATTATTTTTATAATTTAATCACCTTCTAAGAGTTTATCAGGCGCAAAAAAGGCTTCATGTAGTGGCAAATGTGATACAAATTTTTTCCCAATTTCAATCGACTCCGTTTCAGCATTAAAAATTTTTTTAATTTTACTCATATTATTCTCTACTGAAGAATTCGTGTCTCTATTACTATGACTACTATTGTCATTTGAATTAGAAGATGAAAGAGGTTGATATGGTAAGAAAGAGGAATTGAGACGAAAGAGAATAGGATTAACTAAACCATGCCCAAATCTGAGAATAGCAGTAGCGAATACGTTTGATATTGATGGATTTGTATCGTGATCATATTGAAACTTATTGGGATAACCTATATAAAAAAAATATTATGTACAGTTTAAAAAAATATATTTTAAATAAATTATACTTTTATCAAAAAAAAACTTTTTTAATAAAAAAAACTACAATAGGGTGTAATTTATTTGATATTTTGATTGAATCAATTTCGCTAAAGAGTCGCGTTTTTTTAAAAAAAATGAGTGTTGTAGTCCATAAATACATTAAATTTGTTGAATAAATCACCTATCTCATTTGGCAAATTTTACAACATTAAGAATTTTTTAAACATTATATTATATGGCTCAAATTACCAATTAGTTTCATTCCAATCTTCCCAACAATCTTGGGCAACCATTCTTTATATGTTATAACTTGCATTTGAGCTCCCACTATCTTCCTAGCCTCTGCATAAAGCTTGGAACCTTTCCATTGAGGATTTAATGATTTTAATTCCCTAACAATACTATTATGCTGTCTCATCCATAGCGTGTGCATACTGAGTAAGCCTAACTGTTCGTTCGCTCTGTGATCACCGGCTAAAAAACATGGATATCTTTCATATGTATTTTTTTGTGGTAAAAAATTTCAATTGCCAGGGTTTTTAAAATATCGCATCCCCTCTCCAAAAAATAAAACCTTCTGGCCTATGTTATTTCCGGGCTTGCAATTTAACTAATATTCCATTAATAACCATAAAATTTAGAAAAACAATTTAAAACGCGTGATATAATTTTAAAATTAAACGACACCTTAAATTTCTATACAACTTCTTCTTAAGACATCGCAGCACCTAGGAATTGTGGGGTTAAAAATATCCAAAAAGTTAAAGAAAAAGCGAAATCATTTTGCTATCTACAAACGATTTTTTTAAATTTTTAAAGATATATATATTAAAGATCTGCAAAGTTAGGCCCGGCCCTAATTCTATTTATAATAATCGGGTTCGAGCCGGGCCTAATATTTTTTGAAAAATTCGGGATGGGTCGGATCTTGGAAATTTTTTTAAATATATCTAAATTTATCAATTTTATATTGAATTTTTTATGTAAAATAAAAATATTTGATTTTATTTATTGAAACTAAACAACATATAACATATGTCTTTTATTTTGAGTAATTATAAAAATTAATTTCTATATTTAAATAAATTGGGGCCGGGCCGGGTGGGTAAATTTTTTTAAAAATAATTTCGGGTTAGGGCCGGGCCGGGTTTGAAAAATTAGGCCCGATGCAGATCACTAATATATATATTCGTTTTTTTTATCTATTCAAACAATTTCATATTTTTAATTCTTATTTTTAAAAGGTATTTTATGGATGGCTTCTGCGTTTTGAAAATTGAATTTTTCCTGTGAATCAATTAATTTACCTTGTTTTCTTATCAACTCAATTATTAAATAAAGTCAAAATACCAGCGTATCTATAAAATATGTTAAAGGTATTTATTAATGATTTTTTCGAAATAATAAAACTGTGACTGGATATTAAATAAATCAAATTAGAAAGGCAAAAAAATCTTAATAAAATGACAATATTTATTACTTTGAATAATAATATGCTTTAATCATACAAATATTAGCATTTTCTGGCAAAATTTTAAAAAATTTGTAAATATCGAAGATTCACTACAACCTTGTTCAATAAAAGCCCATCCACATAAAAATATATTATATCATTTTACCGTTTATTAGCAAAATCTCCTCTTCCGATTTTACAATCCATCCCTGCCTCAGTGTCAAAAGGTAGAAAATACTTTTCATCATTACTGTCACTTCCATTTATGTTATTTTTAAATTGATATTGCGATACCAATCCAACTTTTAATCTACCTGTTGGCTCTTTACCATTAGGTCCTGAATGAAATTAAAAAATTTTATATGCGTTATTTATTTAAACGTTCATTGTTTTATATCATAGAAATCCTCTTCATTTTTCTATAAAATATCTGACCAAAAATAGCAATCAATTTTACGAACTATCTCTCAGGATATTATTATATTCAATATTTGTTTTTGTATCATTTCAGAAACCTTTAGTGATGCAAAATCGCTGATCCGATTATTAAAACGGCTAACTCGGTATTCTATCTAGAAAAATATTAAGCAATCCTGAAGATTTTCTTAATGGCACAAAGGTTTGGAGATCTGTTAGTAAAATCTCGAGGCTTAGGCGATGTTTTTCTAGCTAAAATATTGAGCTAGTGTTTCTAAAATCGGCTCAAATGAAGCTTTTTTGAATTACTACAAACCTTGTACAGATTCTTTGACTTGTTTTTCGAATTCTTCCGAACTACCGTAAACATTGGAAGCATCGATGAAGGATGTAATTGTATTAATTTGTTCTCTTGCCCTTAATATTTGTTCATCCTCAAGTCGATTATTTGAAGATAATAAATAAGAACTTGAACCAGTCCCGCATATCGCGCTAGACCTCACAAACTCGATGCATCTATATTAAATTTTTGAAAATAGTAAAAGCTTAGACACGTTAAGAACTAAAAATTGAGGATGGTTTTGTGTAATATTGTTTAACGATCTTTTAACAGATATCTTGTTTTTACTTCTAAGGCCACGTTTTGACTTGTCTTATTTAAGAAATTTATTTCTGTTTAGACCAGTCTATTCAGATTTTAAACTAGTGTACCCTACTTGTTTTAAGTGTGTAGTAAATCTAAATGGCCCATTTCTCATTCTGTCTAGGAGAGGCTATATAGGTTGCTTAACAGATTTCTGTTTAGAAATAAGACGAGTCAAGACACGGTCTAAGAGTAATTTAAATATTACACAGATATTTCAAACTCCGATCTACTAATAATTTTTTAATTAATAATCAATATAATGTTAAACTAACAATGATTTTATTTTTCTTCATGTGACAAACTTAAATTTTTCAATTCGTGGATCACCGTGAAAGGGTTTAATGGGAAAACAGGGGGCGCTATTGAGACAATGGTCGCCACAAGGTGCTACATCAACAAAACTCCTATAACTCAGGGCTGGAAGTGCGAAATCTAAATCGTGATCTAAAAATTGGCCCCATTGCATAAGCATCATGCTGTATGAATGTTGAATTTTGATGGAACCAGTCGAAGCTATTGAGTAAGAGACCATTCTCGGGTTAGGTAATATAGGAATGAATGAAAATTTAATCGAACTCAGAGATCTATTATTAATGGAATTGTCAATTTGTTTATTTTTAATTTTATAGTTGGAATAAGTTTTAACGGAATCTCTATAATAATTCAAAAAAGCATCGTCCGATGGGAATGGCATGGAGAGATTGTAGTTGTGAGCAGGGTAGTTCCAACCTTCATTTTAATTTTTTTTTTCAAATTTATTTTTTAAATATATACAATTTAATATTGCTGTAAATAAATTATTGTTATATTTTCTACTGCTATAAGTAATGAATAGAGATATATATTATCATACTAGTAATTCATTTGTTTCTATAATACATTTATACAACATAATACGCACAACCATAATTACATCTGATACGAAAGTATAGTTAGAACATAATAGATGGTGATTATACATACATAATTAATTGTTAGATAGCTAGATTTTACCATATTTTATATTATTTATATATATAATCACTATATCAATATTACATATATATACTAAATATTTATTATCATGAAATTATAAATATAATTTCTACATTACTAAACTATGTTTTTTAGAAAACACAAAAAAACGATATTCATTTCAAAATTATTATTAAGTCCGTTTTTTTAAAATATTTTACTATTTAATAATAAGCCAAAAAAAAATCTGAAAATGGGGCACCTATCATAAAAATTTAAATTATATATTCATTGTAAATATTTTAAATGACCAAAGGATATCTTCTGCTTTTCACGAAGATTATTTATACATCTAAATATTTCATTTTAAAAGATAAGCATTTATTTGTTACATTTTATATGATATTAAATTAATATATAATTAAACAACTCCTTTTTCTTATCTGGGTAACAAGATTTTGTCGGTTTGCCAAAAAAACTGGTACGTTTATGCAAGGCGTTAACCTTAAAACGGGTCATGGACCAACTTGCTAAATGAATGAGTATATTCATTGTTTTAAAAATTTATATAGCGCTTTACTTTTAAAAAAATAAATGACATATCACATGCGGTAGGAGTGGACTAGTTAAATATTGATATAATTATTACGATCAAGCAGGAGTTCATTCATAATTTTTACTTTTCACTCAACACTAATTTTGATGATATTGATTATATTAGTTAAAAGGGGTATTATCAGAAATTAATGAGGTGAATCCTTAATAATTTTTATATGGTTATTATAAAAAAAATATCATAAGATATGGTGGCCTTGACCCGAACCGACCCGTCAAAATTTTTGAAAAGATTCGCCAAGTTCTTGAATTATTATACCCGGGCCATAAAATAATTTTGTGAAAGTTGCCCTACCCAGCCGGGATAAATTTTTACGAAGGAAAACGGCATAAATTTGTCTACTTATCAGTTATTTTCAAACTTAGGCCCAACCAGTAAAAAAATAAACTTTGGCCCTGCTAGTAAAAATATTTTTAACAATTTGTCCAGCGTCTTTCTTTTCCCAGATCAAAATCATTATTAGGAATTTCAAGGAATAGCAAAATTAAAAAGTTAGTAATTATTGTTTTAGATGGTCAACACGACAACAAAACCTTTAATTTATTTTCAGACTAACATCATTTACTTATTTTACATAAAAATTAGCCCTTCCCACACCCAATATTATAAGCAATTTTATATATGTGCAATTCTCGGGTACAGGCTTTTATGGACGTTTAAATGACAATCAGTAGCTTCACAAGGCGCAGGGGCTCGAGCTCCCTAAAAAAGTTGAAGAGCCCTCTCAAAATTTAAAATTTTTTTCACTAAAAAAAAGATAAGTTAGCTATAAAAGGAAAGGTAATTTAAGATAATGTTAGCTTAAAAAAAGGTAATTGTTAATTATTTAAAAAATATTTTGATCCCCTTAGGGCTAGTGACACCCCTGGATAGTTTTCGGATTGTGTGTACAAGTGCGGATTGTCCATAAACGTGCAGAAGGCTCCTCTTTATTTTAAACTTTTCACTAATTTATTCTAGTTAGATGGAGATGTAAATACAAGTTCAAAATTAGCTATTTTATGCACCAAAATTTATACACTTTTAAATCGACAGCAATTATAATGTGTATATATAAATCAAGGGTATATATATATTGTTTTTTTTAATTACTAGTATTTTAAGTTCGGTAAAAAAAATTATCAATAATTAATATTATATTTTTATGTGCCAATAGGCAGGGATTTTGTAATGGAATATTTTTCTATAAAGTTTTTCTTATTAAACAAAATATTTTACATTAGTTGAGTTTCATGATCCTATTTTAAAATTTAATATTAAAAAAAAATAATATAGCAGTTATAATATTTAATCTTTAGTATAGAGCATCTGTAAAAATATATGAATTTCTTTTATATTAACACGTATCTAAACAAATTAAGAAAATAAATGTCAGTTTTTATAACATCTTTAAATATTATGAAAGTCTCCAGATGGCTTAAATTATTTAAAAATATTGGGAAAATGTCATTAAAAAAATAAACTAATGATTCTTAAGTAGAATTGTTAGCAAACCATTATGTGACCCCAAAAAATTAACGATGTTAACAATCAGTGGCGTAGCTAGGAATTTTCCTTAGAGGGGGTCCATACATATAAAAGCTGGCGTTCGGCCCTTTTGCCCGGCCTTCGGCCGGGTTTATTTTACATATCATAACCATATCTTCGATAATATATAATAAATATATTTTTTAAATGCATCAATAATATGTTATTATAATTTAGTAGATTATTCTCAATGACTTTATAATAATACTATCCAAAATAATTTCAATAGTAATATAATATCCTTCCACAAACATCAAAACCAGAAAAATATAATTCATATAAAATCACTTTTAAGTCTTTTGAACGTATAACCTAAAAAAAAAATTTGCTCTGGGAGGGGTCCAAACCCGAAAACCACCCCCGTAGCTACGCCACTGTTAACAATATACGCTAATATAATATTAAATGTATGCAGTGAATGAGATGATATATTTAACAGCTATTTGAGTTTATAAATTTTTTTAATGCGATCATTAAAAATAATTAAAATTAGAATTCCTTAAATTCATCATGATTAAAGTTAAAATTAATAAAAGAAAAATTGATCTTTTTAGAAGTTTTAACTCGATCAGCTGTTATCGTTAAGACAACTATAGTCTTAAAACACTAATACCTAAAGGCGTATTGAGTCCGTTCTCGTATTTATGAGGCAATAATCTTCTAAAGGGCATCAGAGCCGCGCCTTTGGAAGGTTCGTATAAATTATTACATGTTCCATCTATAGTTCTATACTTAACGTGATAAGACATTCTCATCAAACATATGTTTTTGAAATCCATCGCATTATTTGTGTGTGAAGAATAATTATAAATCTTATTGGTATCATAGGTTTGAAATATTACGGGTTTGCACCCTGACATATTTCCTATCAAGTCGATGTGCGTCCGAGAAAGTATTTGCCCAAATTTGTGAAGGATGTTGGGTTCTAATAAATAATATATTTTTTATATATGGATAATAAAGAGGGGGGGGTGGGTGAATAAAATTGAAGGCCGTGTCAACGCTCAGATTATTTCTAAATAACCATCTGTTTAGCCATTTATATAGTTTACTCAAACCTCCTAAAAAGAAAGAGACTTTTATGATTTACCAGAAACCAGCCGTTTAAACTAACTTCTAAATTTATAATAAGATCAGAAATTATCACAAAACATTTATATGCAAAAAATGATCAAATTTAGAATTCTCATAACAGCCTCACACATATCCTTCCCCTTTTTCAGGAAAGTTAATATTGTATTTAAAAAAAATTTTTTTTTTAAATATATTGTAAGGAGTGAGAATTACCTATATTGTTTATTTTAAAATTATTAAGTAGTTTTTATTTTATATGATAAATATACCAAATTGGGACACCTGAAATCCTTTATCTTTTCCATTTTTCTCAATGTGATCCTCTATAATTTGAAAAGCACGATTAAAAATATCGCCAGCTCTGGCCAGTTTAAACGCGTCTTGCGTAGGATATCTCAAGTAGCTCATTAGTTCTCTTTGTAAATTTTAAAAATACTAAATAATAATCATTCATAATTCAATTTCCCAATTATATTTAATTTAGCTTGAAATTAGAATTTCGAAATTAATTTTTACAATGTTTAAATAAAACTTTAAAAATCCGATTTATAATTTTAATAGTTAGCGATATTAACGAAAATACTTAAAATTTCCTCGAATTCCTCTTTTTTGGAGATTTTTAATGGTCTCCGTTATAGCTAAATCTATATCGAATTTAGCTTTTGTTACGCTTTCATTTATCAGAGAAAGTATAGGATCTTCTAGGCTCGATTTAGTTTCATCTTTTGGATCGATAAGTAGATTTGATGCCGAATTCACATTGTTCATATGACTCTTCGGAGTTAAGGTAATAGGGTTGGAACTGATTAGTGAGTCGTGATCTACGATGCGTTTATTTTATATTTATTTATTATTAAATTAAGGTGCAACCGCTCCATGGAATTTTTAGTATATAATCAAATTATAAATTTATAGGTTAAGTTATCTGTAAAACACTGGAATACATATTCTGCAAAATCAGTTTCCAATCTTAAACCATTTATTCGGTGCATTTCTTTTTAAATTTATAAATTTCAGATCGAACTTGAAAAAAATATATTGAATTTGCAGGGTCAAAAAACTAAGTGAAATGAATAACCACAATATCGCAATAGCTATAAATTTAATATTTTTTTAGACTTAACAGTTTTATATTTGTGTTGACAAACAAAAGGTTAATTTCGCCTATTGGTGAGCTTATTTTTGAGCCATTTTTTTAAAAAACTTGTATATACCTCTAGTTTCCTTCAAATGGATTTCGCATACGTATACGCCTTGATCCATCTCTTCAATATTAGTTACGAGCAATGATCCATTTGGCATCAAATAATATTTTTCTATATTATTAGGCATTTCTACTCCCCACTTCAAATTCCATCGAATAATGGGTATATCAATATCATCTTTCAACCATAGAATATCGCGTATGCTGTCCTTATAACTGCTTAAAATATTATTCAAAGCATGAACGCCTTTATATTCATCATAGGTTCGATTATTGATATTTTTGAGAAATGTTCTAAGTCCTTCACAGTTTAGGACTACATCACTCCCAAATTCCATTTTGAGATTTCTTTCACTGTAAATATTAGAATGATTGTAATTAATAACCTCTTTTATTTCATAATCATGTGCTTCGTTGTTAAGCTTAATATCCCTTGTAGATGATTCTTTAGCTAAATATATATTTAAAAAATTGCATATAAATAGTAGTGCTATAAGTTTGTTTATTATTAATAATTCTAGCAAAATTAAGAAATCATATATAGAATATGTATTTGTTATCGATTAATTTATTTTTTTTATTATTAAATCCAATTTAAATGAATTTAAGATAATTATAGTTAAAATGCTAATATTATGATCGGCAAATGACATGATCAAGATCATATAATAAAAAAAATCTAATGAAAGAAAAAAAATATTGGATCAAATTTTTTTTTAAAGATACCTTCTGAATCAGCTAATAGAAAGGTTTCATATTTCGAAATTTTAATTTTTTCAGTTCTTAAATTCTTTTCTTCTATATGGCAAATATAAATTCCTTGGTCTGCAATGCTAAAATTGGTTATCAAAAGTGTTGAGATTTCCCTTATGTATTTGGAAGGATATTTTTTTATTGATAATATCCTGTATTTTGTATTGGTATTATTCAGTATTAGGAATGGATTGACAAGCGAGTAAAAAGTTAATAGGTCATCTAATTATTATTTTTTGAATTCACGAATAAATTTATTATATTAATTAATTTTTAAATAAATTTGAAGGGAAAAATATTATTCATTTATTTAATTCATTTATTCTTTTATCATTTGGTCATTCATTTAATTATTCAAAACATCTTCATATATTTAATTAACAAACTTTCTTTGAACCATTTGATAGTCGTTTCAAATTCGTTCGTGTTTTTAAGGATATGCTCTCCACACGTCACATATTTGTCGTTGAATTTTTTTAAAATATGATGCCCTATTCCTTCTTGATTTTCATTTTGATCTTATAAGGGGATTCATAAAATTAAAAAAATTTTTTTTATATAAAATGAGATTTCCCACAAATCATCTATAATCTTAACGTAGTCATTATTTTTATAAATTGAAAATAGACAGAGACTATCTATAAAACCGCCGCTATTATAAATTTTTAGACAATTTGAATCTACAAATTTTACATATTCTCATTCAAAATTTATAATAATCCTTAGAAAGCTATTCTGAGAAAATCTAATCTTTTATTTCCTTTAAAATTTTTTATAATACTTGACAAAAAAATATATATTATATTTTATATTTTAGATGAAATAATTATAATAAAAGTTAATATTTTTGTGGTAAAATGTGTTTCGTCTTATTTCATCTTTTATTTAAAAAATATTCATTATCACTTAAATCAAGTTCATTTGCTTTTTCTTTATTTACATTTGAAATTGCGATATGATTTAATCATTGCTGTTTCATCGTAAGATGCAGATAAGAGTCAAGACCGGTACTGAGAGAATCCTTCTGCGAACAACCACTTGAGGAAATTGTTAATAGCATTTCAATAAATTTTTATATACTCGGATAAATAGAAATAATTTATTTCTTACTTTGTTCTTAATATGAGTATTACGTCCTATAAAGAGTTTAGTCTATATTTTTTCAACTTTGAGTTTAGTCGAAAAACATATATCTATGAAGAATTAGATGAACCATTTTAAAATCCTCTTCATTGAATGCTTAAAATCCATCAAATTTTTAAATGGCAAATATTTTTAGATTAATTAAAGATATATTATGGGTTTTTGAAACGATTTTTTTTACTTGCAATTATATGATCTAAAGATTCATAATAAATTGATAATTCAGTAACTGACCTGAACTAATGATATGACAATTCGAGCCTTCTTCGAATCTTAAAGGCTTTTTTGTTGCTTTAAAATGTGATCCTCTAAAGTTAATTTGTTTACCTTTAAATTAATTTCTGTCCAAAACTTATCTAAACTATCATCTTGTATTATAACTAAAATTTTGATCGGGTTTATTTCTATTCTATAGAAAATGTAAAAAAAAATTTGGATTTCAGCATTTAAAACTCCTGCTCTCTCAAATATTGTTATCATTATTTTAAGAAATAAAAAGTTTTCAAAAAGCTTTAATTGGTATAATAAATTTTTTGTCTTGTAGCAACCTCGCTGCGAATTGAATTTATAATTTCTAATAAAAGTTTCATAATTATTTCATAATTCCTTTCCATTTATTTGAGCGATATTATTCGCGTTCACAAGCATAATGGCCTAGAAATTGAATTATCATTTTTCATCTTGAATGGAATGAAATATCTCCATGCGTTTGAGGGAATATCAAAAAAATGATAATAAATCTTTCCTTAATGTTAATACTTTAAAAGCAATTGTATTAAAGGAATCTTATACTGTATGACCTGCACAATGTACATAGATTGCTCTAGATTCTTCATTATGTAAACTAGAAATATTTACATTCACGTTAGAGATCCTATCATAACATTAACCTATGCATTTTTTGATGTCTAAGGAATATCTAATATCTTCGATTAATTCATCCATTTGCATAAAAATTTGTCAATATGGGCGGGAATTCCGTCACTCCCAAGAAGTAGACGCCTATGGTAGATGCTAGAGATGGCTAATGATTACCAACTATTATGTTGTTATGGCTCATTTTAGAGGAAAATTTTTACACAAATCAAAATCAAGCCCCTAATTTACAATAAATGTAATCTATCAAATAAAACAAAACTTTCAAAAGAAGGAAACATTTGGTCATTTAGGTATTTATTCTCCTCTTCCATTTCAACTATAGCGCTCTTGCTCCTAATTTGTCCCATCTTATTAAAGGCTAAACATTCGTAAATTCCAACATCATTCGAATCCGAGTCGAGAATCGTTAAATTTTGGTGATGTTTCGTGGTCAATATGTCTGCTGTAAAATTTACCTCGTATTTTGAAGGGATTTTATCTATTAATGGGTTTATCAATATAATATTTTATTTAATCATATGTCGAAATATTTTTAAAAAAACCTTAAGTTGCATTTATAGTAAACGCGTTATCTTAAAGCGGTGCGTTATTTAAATTAGCGGTATTACAGCTGATTTAACTATTTAAGAAGATAATGCATAATAGAGTTAATAATTTTATATAATATGAAAAATCGTATATTTTTATATAGAATTTGCTATTATTTTATAATCGTATTGCATATTTTTTTTACCAACGTATCGCAACATATGTTTTTCATATTTTATAATAGAGCTATCTTAATAACGCTCCATAATTACAAATTTATCGATGCCTTTATTTTATAATAACGCTGCGATAAATGGTGCAACGCTTGAACATAACGCGTTTACAACAAATGAGGCGGTACTTTTCGTTATTTCGAATCTATTCTTTTATACAACTGTCCAAAAAAATAATAACTTAGGTCTCGTTTATAATAAGTATGAAATATCGCTATATCACTCAAGCAGTGCTTAATTTATAGCTAAATGTACGTAAATCATAGCTGTATAATTTAACAGACATATTTTGTAAACTATGCACCACGGTATTTCGTGTTTATTATAAACGAGGCCTTATAAGACAATTATATGAATAATAAATTAGAATTAATGAAAAGTAAGAGTTAAAAAAACAGCCTAAAGCATAACAAATAATAAAGGAGAATTTGAGGGAATAAGTGCATTATAAAGTCAACTTAGGTGACATGGGCAATTCCATATTAATATTATGTTATTTATTTAAATATGTTTAGATAAAAATCAGCTGGTTACACATCTATTTGATTTCCCGTATAACTAAATTTATATTAAAAATTTTATGAATACATTTTTTTTAAAAAATTCAGAGTTTCCGTTTATTCAAAAAGGGGAAAAAATGGCGTATCACTAGCTTATTTGTATTCAGGGACGCTTCAAAATTCATTTTAACGAATGAATCCTCAGTTTAGGTAAGTAAACGATATGTCATTGATCCTGGGTTCGAAAAAAAAATGGTTACTTAAAATATAAAGAACAGTTGTTTTTTTTACGAAAAAATATAAAATTTATCATTTCAAACCTGTGACCGAATAACTTTCTGATATACTCGTTTCCCGAATCAGTTTACCTAGATCGAGTCGTTTGGGAGAGAAAAATAGCAAGCTAATTATTTTCAAAATCAATTTATAAAGTTTCA